AAAAAAAAAAAAAAAACCCATTGTAACTTCACTGCCACGCGGGCATGACATTTCTGATTGTGCAGCCTATTGGTGGTAGGTCACAAGGCCTTAGACTCCCCAAAGATCTTGAAGATCTCTTCATTCAATTTCCCATCCAATGTAGGAGCCTCTTCAACCCTCAACTCCACCTGACTTATCCTTAACTAAAGATAATCTAACTTCTGCTTGAATACTTCTATTACTGGAGATCTCATTACCTTACAAGGCAGCCAATAACTATTTCATAAAGCTCTACAGTTCTGATTTTCCACTAAGTTCATTCAGCTCCCTGGTGGCACTTACCAGTGGTCTTGATTTTGCTCTCTCAGGCAGAAAACAATAAGTTGATACCTCTTCTGCCAGAAAGTCCTTTAGATAATCTATAAGTAATATATAACAGTATGTGTAATCCCCTATTTTTCAACGTATTTGCACACAAGTGACCCCATGCAAAATAAGCCAGTGAGGTGAGCCACATGGTCATTCCAAATGTAGGTGAAGAAACTGGCTCCAAGTGATGATGTGATTTCCCTCCAGTTCACAAAGCTAGAAAACAGCAAGCCTGGCTCTCTGTCTCCTTATATGCGGCCTTCTGCCATCACCCCCCACCAGACTCCGTCTATTTTCAGGCTAAATATTCCTACACATCAAGATTGCAAGCACGCCACCGCCCTTGCCACCCTGCCTTGCATCTTATGTCATTATGTCTTTGTGAAGAACAACAGAACAACACCCTTTCCCTGCTTGTCCCAGAAACATAAGTCACCGCTCCAGATACTGGGCACGGATTCTGTCTTCTTTAGAGAAGGCTGAAAGTCAGATTCCTTTGTTAAGTACAAGGTCCTCCACCCCCAATATTTTATTTTTAACAAAGTGTCTCACTTAGAAAATTATCATATGTCAAGGTCACCAGAAGGTTCAAGCGCAAAGGCATTAAATGAACTATTAGATTTGATATTACCAGGCACTGCAACTGGTCTGTGACAAGGAATTGTTTGTTCTTTACCAGAGCCTTGAGATAGGACGTCTGCTGGTTGGCTGGCGGGTGATGGTGTGCAGTGGTGAATAGGATTCTTTCCCCACCAAAAGCTATTTTAAAATTGGGGGACCCTTCTCATGGTACCTTCTCTGAAGGGAAGTGTCCGTGGGCTTTCGAGAGAGCCAGCATAGTAGCAGTCACCACCCCCTGGATCAGCCAGGACAGAACCCTCCATCCTTCACTGGGTGTCAAAGTCCTCAAATTGAGGACTTTTAGTTTCATAATGAAAGATTTGCCAGGAGTTGCTGACTCTTAAATGTACATTCCAGACATGTATAAGTTAAAGGCACAACACTGGGTGCAGTGGCTCATGCCTGTAATCCCAGCACTTTGGGAGGCCAAGGTGAGCTGATCACCTGAGGTCAGGAGTTTGAGACCAGCCTGGCCAACATAGTGAAACCCCGTCTCTACTAAAAATACAAAAATTAGCCAGGTGTGGTGGCGCACGCCTATAATCCCAGCTACTTGAGAGGCTGAGGCTCGAGAATCGCTTGAACCCAGGAGGCAGAGGTTGCAGTGAGCTGAGATTGTGCCATTGCACTCTAGCCTGGGTGACAGAGCAGGGAAAAAAAAAAAAAGTTAAAGGCAACACTGGCAGCTGTAACAGATTAATCTTGAAATCTCAGGTAGAAGGCTAATTCTGGTTCTCATCCTTTCCTTTTAGAAAGATCCGGAGGGATTATCCTTCCAAAATCCTTATCCAGCTGTGTGCTGCTCTGCTTCTGCTGAACCTGGTCTTCCTCCTGGACTCGTGGATTGCTCTGTATAAGATGCAAGGCGTCTGCATTTCAGTGGCTGTATTTCTTCATTATTTTCTCTTGGTCTCATTCACATGGATGGGCCTAGAAGCATTCCATATGTACCTGGCCCTTGTCAAAGTATTTAATACTTACATCCGAAAATACATCCTTAAATTCTGCATTGTCGGTTGGGGTATGTATAAGCTTGCCTGTATGTTGCCTGGACTTCCTCTGCTTTTTCTCCAGTGTTTTGATTTTTGAGCAGGAGGAAATGATGAAGCAGATCACATTCAGCAAGTTTCTAAAACAGCTTTATACTCTTACATGTGCACTGCCCGAAGAGCAACTTTGTCAAGTCTCCTTCTAGGACACCTGTATATTTCCTCTGGATTTGTTATGAATATGAAATTCCTCAAGGCTGAACCATGAATCCTCTTTGTATCTCCAGGAACTAGAATTTGGGGCTGGCACAGAAGGTGCCAGAAAGTGCTCAATATATTGAAAACATTAGCTTGGTGGTAAAGAGCCCAAACTCAGTCCCTGAGCTCCCAGCCAGCCTCATTCTACTTTGTACCTCCCAGATATCAGACATGTATGACAGTATGCTCAGGAGGGCAGAGTGAGAGAACGTACATATAAAACCCATTGTGGCCGGGCGCGGTGCCTCACGCCTATAAC